ATACAAAAGATTGCGGTCATTTCACCGGAGAGAAAGCGTATATTGCCACGAAAAGCATGAAAAAGGGTTCTGAAACTATCGAAAAAATTTTCTTTTCCATCGTGGAAACTAAAAAGTTTTGGGACTTTCATTGCGCGCCGAAACGTCTGATTTTACAGTACCTCTCAATTACGGAAATTTTGCACTTAACGGATGTAATTAAGTCCTTTTATAAGAAGTCATTAAGTAAGTATGTTAAAAAGTAATTCTTCCACGAAATGCCCACAAAAAATTAGCACGGCCATTGCAAGTTCTTACGGATATTAACGACTTTTTTATTGTGTTGTCAAAAAACCACCGGAGGTTGGTAAAAGAGGATCGTGTATATTATAAAAAAACGAATGGAATAAAAATAGTAAAAACCATTTAACGCTATTATTCCGATCTATATAAAATCAGGGCGGATTAAACAAAACAAGGTAAGACTTTAATTTACCCCCCCCCCCGCCCCCTCACAGCCGAAGGGCCTGAAAGTTTTCGGTATTTTCGCTTATTTTGAAGGGATTTTTGCAACGCCATTCGATAGAGCGTCGAAAAAAAACTAAGAACAAAGTAATCTATTAGTGGTAGCAATATTTTAAAAACAAGGAATAAAACCATAAGACCCAACCAAGCGGGCCAATCGAACAAAGGTCAATTCAAAATGCCACCCCATTATGACAGGAAAAGGGTGTTCATACCCCCAGGGGGTACATCGTTGGATGCCGCGTCCCATTTTTGGGGCGATGCAAAGATGCTCTGTTTCTCTGCACTCTCTACTGATCAGCTGATGTCTCCAGGTGGGGCACACCCCCGGCAGTCTCTGTCTGTGTGTGTTGGGATGCAAATGTATGTATGTCTCTCTCACTCTTTCTCTCTCTCCCTCTATCACTTGGCGCCCAGGTGGATGAATACAAGGCTGCGGAGGGTCATCCAAGGCCATACGCTCGGAGCAAAATGCCCTGGGGCTACTTTTAAAGAGGTTCGGAATCTTAGACCTTAGAGCAAGCGAGAGAGAGAGAGAGAGAGAGCGAGAGAGAGAGAGCGAGAGCTTGAGTGCCTATAAGAGCTCGAGAAGCGAGAGATAATTAGGCGAGAGAGAGCGAGAGACAATGAAAGCGTGAGAGAGCGTGATATAGCGAGAGAGAGAGAGAGAGAGAGAGAGAGAGAGAGAAAGAAAGAGCGATAGAGAGAGATACGTCTGACGAGATAAAGAGGTACGGTGATTTATCCGGAATCAATAAACCATGTCGACAGCCGCTAAGAAAGCCAACCCTTTGGTGCAGGCTGGTCGATTTTAGGCGCTACAGGGTGGCGATAGTATCTGCATGGACGAGTCGACGACTAGGAGGAAAAGAAGAAGGCTCAGGGTCAAGCAAAAGACACCGGTGTTCCCATCCCAACCAGCCAGCCACTACCCAAAAATACGAACCAGAGAGAGGGAGAGAGAGAGAGAGATGGAAAGGGATATGCCAAATAAAAAACAGCCGGAGCGCCGTATTAATTGATGGCTGTTCGCGCGGAGCGCGCGGTGAGCAGCGCTGTTTGGCCCGAGTTTTGCAAGAAAACAGGCTTTTTGCAAGTGAAAAATTATAAAGTCACCATTTCCTATGTTTTTTTAATAAGAAAGGGTCAAACCGAGACTTTTTATGCAAATTAAGCCCCGTCAAAAGTTGTAGTGGTTGCCGTGTTTGGCGAGGGAAGTGAAGGCGATGACCGTGACAAGACAAATCTCGCCCCAAACACAAATATGATTACACGGTGCGGAGGAGGGCAAATAAATGGACAAGAAGACATATGATTCTGATCGGATTAGGTAGGCTAGGACCTCCATAAGTTAAGAAATAGGGCCGAGAGAATAACTTTAAGCGACTAGGATACGTGGGAAGCTAACCGTTCTAACGGCAAGGTCTGGACAGCCACGGTCCCAAGACAGCTGAAATTTTATTCTATAGGCTGTTGGCAAAAAAAATCAAAAAAAGCGATAATGGGCGCATTTTGGAGTGGCGCGTAGTTGTCTGGACCAAGTGGACGCAGAGGGTCCATTCCGGGTAATCTAGACTTTTTAAAGCGAGTAGGAAACTAGTTTTTGCAAGCATTTCAAAATTGGCAGGATTCCAAGACCTAGAAAGCTTGGGAAACGGAAGCGAAAATCCTTAAATTTCTCTAAAAAAATCAGTTCGAGAAAAGTTTGAGACTTTGGGACCTATATTTCTCGGTCTTTGTTACTCGCTACGTTACAGTACGGGCAAATATAAGGAAAATTCTCCAGTTTACAAAACCAAGAAATGAGGATAAATCAGGTGGTTTTGGATGCGTTCCAGAAATAAATCAAAACCCTCCGACCAGCAACACCAATTAGCCAAGAGGAATGGAATGGAATGGAGAACCTGAGGGGATCTAGAAGAAGGCCAGAGAGAGGGAGAGAGAGAGAGAGAGAGAGAGAGAGAGAGAGAGAAACGGATTGAAATGGAAAGGTGAGCACGGCCAGTCACATACAAAAAAAAGAAGGAAGAGGCTAGTTGAGCATTCCTCGAGGGGGAAGGAGGGGACTGTCGTGTGGCCCGAATCCGCAAATTGGTGTCGAACGGAATAGGGGAAGCGAGAGAGAGGGGGAGAGAGAGAGAGCGAGCGAGAGAGAGAAACGGGTGGGGCGAAATGTCAAAAGGGATCCGACCGGACAGCAGCATGTTAGCCATCACAAGGTCACGTACCAGCACGAAGCAGGTAGGTGGGGCCTTGTGGATTTTCAGCTTTAATTGGTGACGAAAGCTTCAATAAAAAGAGTAATGTGTAAAAAATAGAATTCAGAGCCAAGCCAAACGTCGATTTTCATAACGTAATCGAACTTTAAGGCGCTAAGAGCCGAACGGATCGCGTGTCGCAGAGAGGCAAAAAAAAATGGAAAATGGAAAAATGGAATGAGTCGCCTACTTATTGCGAAAATAAAGCTACCGTTTAACGCCCACTTCCGGCCCCTTTAAGCCATCGTTCCGCGTTAGAATACCTTCAAAGCCGACCCGAACCGGTCAAGGGATATTAGCCACGACAAGGTCACATGCGGTCTTTCACGCCCCCCGCCCTCGAATCGTTCCCTATAAGGCGCGCCCCCGCCGCCTAAGCGCCGGAAATAATCGTCACCTAGCCCCAGCGAGGCGTTTTACGGGATCCGGCCTACGAAACTGTACTACTAATGCTCTGGATCGCATGCTAGAGAGGCTAGGAGGCCAGAACATAGAAAATGCGAGATATACGAGAGCCAAAATACCGAAAACCCGCGACTTCGGATAAATATTAAAAATCTTAATCAAACCTACTAGTAAAAATTCCGTAAAAACGTTCAATTCCAAGTTACGCCGGACAAACGGAAATCGGGAGGAAAACAAGGATGTAATCCGATACTGGAGCATCAGGATATGGCTCTAAAAAGTGTCCACCGCGAGGGTTTACGCCCAAAAAAACTCCAAAACTGCAAAAGTACATCTAATTCGGCAGTTGATAGGTAAACCTCACTGTTTTCATTCCATTTTCAACCTCAAAAACTGGATCTTGAAGAAATAAAGGCACCGCATTAATTTTTTATTTAAGAAACGCGATCAACTAAATATAGTTACTTATTGGACCTTTTTTAAAAGGTTTTTATGAATAAAGAAACCGCGAGCCGCTTCCAAAAATAAGCCATCGAACCAGCCAGCCAGTCCCTCCAGCCGGTGGCGAATGGCTGAATATATGTCAAGTCGTCGGCCTCCTTCCAGCGGCGGTCAAGCGTTTTGCTTAGCCCGGGCAAACAAGGAGGGAGGCATACAAAACATATGCTCAGCGAATGGTTCGATCCTTAGGCTCTTTTTTGGGCTTCTTTCAATCCACTCTAGCAAAAAGTGGCTAGACCCTTCAAAAAATGAACAGTGAAAACTTGAAACCCACTGAAAAGGGCGATTTTGAAACGCGGCGGCTTAGGCTTATGCTTGGCTTACTTAGTTAGGCCTAGGAATAGGATTAGCGGCCTCAAACTGGCGCTTCAACATTCCCGAGAATCCACCTAAAAACGGTATTTCGGAACGGCAACCACGGGAGGGAATCCTGTATACAGCCCGGGGGACAGGTCTGACCGGCATTCTTTCTTCTTCTTCTTTCCTGCTCTTCTTTGACACTTTTCCAAAGAAGGAACACACACCTGAATGCCCCGCGGGCACACACACGCACATACACCACGACGAAAAACGCGTCAAACCGGGTTACGTAATTATAGCCCACTTTAGGCGATCTACGACCCCCTACAACTTTTTCGGGGTGTGAGAAGTGCGAAAATCCTCCGAATCGGTGGTGAACTTGGCAAATTTGATGGATCGATTGGTTCTTTCGCATTAACGGGGGTGGAGGCCGAACTTTTTGTGTAAGTCTAGACATTACTAAAACATTTCCTATCATGTTACTAGACGTGTTTTTACTAAAATAGAAATATTTTTAAACTAGGAAAATATCTAGAAACGATGCATGATAAAATGTCTAAAAAAGTCGAACTGTTTGTCCAAAACCGGCCATCCTTGGTCGAAAAACCTATCTTTTTCTATTTTGAAGAAAGTTTGCAACGTTTTAACGTTCAGGAATAGAAAAATACAGCTTAGAAGAACGTGCGTCATTTACCTTTGAAAAATTAGAAACTAAGCAAAAATTGGTCCCTCCCCCGATAATGCGAAAGGACCGGCATCTTCATTCCGAAAAAATCTAAAACGCGTATTTTTTTAATAACGTTCAATTGTACCAATTTATTCCCGAAAAAATCAAACAATCAACAGCACATAGATGAACACAGAGAGAGAGCGTCACAGAAAGAGAGATTTTTGGAAAATGCCCATAAAATAATACCAATAATCGTCGACAAAAATCACAGCCTAGAGCAAAATAATAAATACGAGAGGGTGGTCCGTATAAGTTATGAAAAATGGGGATAACAAGAAAAGGAAGGGAACCAATTAACTCTACTCATACATGGCGATGAGGTACATCATGTAGATGCCGGTGAGCAGGGCAATGATCTCGAGCACCGTCTGCTTCAGCGAAGAGTTCTCGAGCAGTTCGGGGATGACGGACACGGTGGCGATGTAGATGAAGCCTGAAATTTGGAGTTATCAAGGTTTTATTGATTTCTGAAGCTCCGGGCAGAATACCGACAGCCAAAATATTGCCAGGGCAAAATATCGGCCAAACAAAATACCGACAGCCAAAATCCCGTCATAAAAATATGCTCTAAAAACACCGACAGGACAAAATCCCGACATCCGAAACAACGACAGGGGAGAAGCCGGATCGGCCGACTTCCAGATAGTCCAAATTCCGGCGGCCATAATCCCGACAGACAAAAATATCGACAACGATAAACTTTAGTATCCTGTCCGGAATTTTAGCTTTTCGATTTTTCGGTTGTCGAAAGTTGAGTGTCGGCATTTTGATCTGTCGATAGTTTGAAGCTGTCGAGATTTTGGCCCGTCATTTTTGGATTTCGGGAATTTAGCCGCCGATATTTTTTATGTCGGGATTCTGGCATTTCCCCAGGTTTCTCACCTCCAGCAGTGAAGGGAAGAACCCAGGTGGCCGAGGCAGCATCGGCGACAGCTCCGTCAGCCGACCAAAGTGAGAGCAAGCAGCCAGAGAAGGCGCCGAGAGCAGTCACCAGCTGGATCATCATGGCCTAAAAATACAAAATACAGAAAAAATTTACGAAAATTACGCGAGTCTTGGTGTATCCGGATTGGACGAGGATCGCAAAGTCTCCAATCTCATGGGGGACCTCGTGGATGAGGACGGTCATGGTTGTAACGATTCCTAGAATTCGAAAAATAAAGATTTTGGTCAGGTGAGATACCGATTCCAGTTCCGGCGATGAACGAGGCTCCAATGGCCAGGCCGTCGGTGAAATTGTGAGCAAAGTCGGCGGCAAGGTTCAGGTAGGCGGCAATCTAAACCGATTTCGTTTGAGAATTATAAATTTTCCAGCCTTTTCGGTTCAGGGGGCAACAACCTTTTTCTGAAATAAATAGACAGAGTGCTCCTAAACTTCTTAATTATCCCTAAAGGTCAGAAATTTAAAAATTTGTATGTAACAAATCCAAAAAATCTAGAATTTGCAACTAAAACTGGCCGATTCTAGATCATATTTCACTTTGAAAATTTCTAAGTTGTTTTAAATTATTTTTCACTTCAAATACAGTCAAACTTTACAAAAAAAAAACACTACTAAAATAATTACTATGACGTTCTGGACTTGGAAAAAGGTTGGTCCCCCGCTGATGAGAAGGAACCGCATTTTCCGACCCAGAAAACCAACCTTAATTCCCTCGTGCTCCTTGGGCGCATCAGCCTTCTTCTCGACCTTCTTCTTGTCCTTCTTGCCTCCCTTCTTCTCATCCTCTTCCTCGTCGTCAGATTGCTTGGCATTCTGAAAAAAACTTGTCTACAGATCCGTATTTTTTGAGAAAAAAAAGAACAATTCACTCGTAAAAACTTAAAACCTACACCGCCGTGGGAATGTCCGTTCCCTCCGTGGCTGTGTCCGTGCTCACCGCCGCGCAGGATTCGGAGCAGCTTCTCGATGGTCAGGAAGGCGATGATACCTAAAACCGAAACGTACTGTAAAGATTATAAAAACGCACCGGCAAGAACCCATCCACCAACGCTCATATCATGAGGGCCATGGGAGTGGCCGTGATGTTCATGCGAGTGTCCGTGGCCGCCTTCTAAAATTGAAAAATTTAGTCCGACGTTAATAAGAGTAGAAAACGAATGGGGGAAGAATTGAATTTAGGTGGCTGATCATTTTTAGAAAAGCATTTTTCGGAAGACATTTTGGGAAAGTCGTATTCTCGAAAATCAAGAAATTTGAAGAATTTTTAACTATTACTATTAGTTTCTAATTAGAAAAATTACTATTTCTGCCTCTTATGGTCGTTTCCGATTGGTAATTTCTTACACAATCAATATATATTTCGAAATTTCGTGATTTTCGAAAAAATACTTTGAAAAAGGTTTTTTGGTAAGGATGATTTTCTTTTTCAAAAAGTCTACGGAAATCTCCGCTTTACCTTCAGCTGGTGGCTGAGCGTGCGGGATCAGATGGAGGAAGGCGTCACCGAGCAGACCGCCGGAGCCGAAAGCCAGCAGCACCTTGAGCAGCGGCCCAGAGTCAGAAGTGTTTGCCTAAAAAGAATGAAGTTTCCAGAAAATGTGTACCTGGATCGGGATGAAGAGCAGGATGAGGAACGGAGCGATCGAGATCATGAGCGTGGCGCCGAGCGCGTGCACCCACAGCCTGGTCCGGGCGTCGTTCATGAAGGAGAGGGCTCTAAAAATGCGTGTAAAACATTGTAACATTGTAACAATAACGCAAAAAAACATTGTTAGAAAAGCACTTACCCTTCGTATTGGTGACTATCAGCCGGATGGACTTCTCGTTTCGCCTTCGCAGCTCCGTGACTGTGACCTTGGCCACCATGCGAATTTCCGTGGTCCTCAGCACCGTGCGAATGTCCGTGATCTTCGGCTCCGTGGCTAAACAAAAAGAATTGAAGCGTGCAAAACAACCCCGTACCTATGCGGGCACTTTCCACCAGTATGGGCATGTCCGTGCTCCTCGGCTCCGTGCGAGTTTCCGTGGTCCTCGGCGCCATGGGAATGTCCGTGGTCCTCAGCTCCGTGGGAGTGTCCGTGATCGGCGGCATCGTGGCTGAAGTAAAAACTAAGCTGAAGATAACAATTTTAAGTATACCTATGAGCATGCGGACACTTTCCTCCGGCGTGTGAGTGCCCGTGGTCGTGGGCAGCCGCCTCGGCCGCTGCCTGAAAAATACTTTTGAAAGGGATCACAGTATCTCAATAATAGTGTTATTTTTCCTATAATCCGATTTTTTAAATATATAAGTATCGGAAACGTTTAAAAACTGTTTTTCATCAAAAATATAGATTTTTTTCACCAAAATGACCCATTTTTACCAAAATTTAGAATTTTTTAAAGTTGTTAGATAGTTTTTCGAGGTGAAATAGTCGATTTTAAGAAAAACCATTCAAAATACGTTATATTACGTTACTAAACATCCGAAAAAAGCCGTTCGCCGCATTTTCGAAAGCACCCTTTCTCACAGGCGAATGGTAGATTTTAATCTCGAGCCAAAACCGACCTGCTCGTTCACCTCACGCCCATACTTCGAGTGCGGGGCCTCGTGGGTGTGGCCGTGGTGTTGTTGGCCATATGCGGCCACGACGAGCGCCGCCGCGGCGAGGAGCAGCCCGAAGCGCATAATTACCCCTGAAAGAACCTTTCTTTAAATCTTGGCCATGCTTCTAGACAAAAACACAGTTTTAAACCATGGCAAATATCCGAGTTTTAACGTCATCAAACCTAACGCCTCGTCCAAATAAAAACAAATAAGATTTTAAACCTTGCAAAATATCATAGATTTCTTGGATTTAATCCAATAGTAAAATAAATACCGGGAATACAGTTATTGACATTTATTCAAAGGCATGTGTGTGTGCATCAACAACAAAGGCAAAACGAACACTTTACAAAGCAGAAGGGGGACTCGTGAAGCAAGTTGAGGGGCGGCTAACCGGATACGCGGAGGTGACTGGGAAAAGTTCGTAGATTATCGAAAAGCGGAAACGCAGCTGTAATCAAAAGTTCGCATGTTTTAATCCCTAAAAGAGCTAATTTTTAGTGTTTAATCGAGAGAAGGAGAACGAAAAATGATCACACGACAATCGGGGGCAAAACGATCACATATGGTGAGGGTACGTAAATGGGGCAAGAAGAAGCGGAAGGACATCAGTATCTCGGTTTGCGGATGGTGGCACCGGAGCCCTCGAAGACGGAGAAGCCAGGGCCAGCTTTGGCGGCTTCACGCTGCTCCTCCAGCAACACTTCACGGCACTTGTAGTCACAACGGACAAAGTTCAGCTGGCCGGGTTGGTAGTCCGGGATGCAGAACGCCTCGGGGATCTCGGTGGTGCTGGTGATCTCGTCGACGGTGGACACTTCGGAATTGTGGCGCGACTTCTTGCCGTCGAGCCGTTGACCGCCTAAAAATGGAAATATAAATTTATTGTTAAAAAATTAACAGAAAAACCCGGTTCTTTCGCATTGGGTTTTTTTCGGCTGTCAAAATTGACAAAAACGATTCGATTGACATGAGAAAAAAACAGCAGATTTCTAAAAAACACTTGCCCCCCTGAAATAGGCTAAATTTTGTTAAAATAATATCACTACTAGGACTAGGCCAGAATACTATGTAAAAAAATTCAGCCCCCTAATATTGCAAAAGCTCCGAAAAAAAAACTTTTAGTAGCTAAAACCCACCAGAAGCAAACGGGACGAGCTTCTTGGCGACGCTGGCCGGAGCAGCCTGGGGCATCGGCGCAACCGGCATCACGTTCGGGCCACGGCTGCTGCCCGGTCTCGCCGTTTCCTCGTATCCCTCCGGCGCATCAAAGTCGAGATTCACGTCACACTCCACGATGCACACCGCGTTCTTCGGCTTCAAATCTTGGACGATGAAGTCGAGCTGCTGCTCGTTGTAGACGACACGGATGCGATCGTCCTTCGTCAGACAGGCCCATTTGCGGAGCTCGACCTCGAGCATGGCACGGGGATTAGTTATCTGAAAAAAGGAGTTCATTTGGTTTTTTCCTAGCGAAATTTTGGAAATATCCAAAACCCTACCTGCAAAAACTCGAGATTCTGCGGCTTCAGCTTCGCATAGGTAGCCTTGGGCAGAACGGCCGAGTCGACACGAACAGCATCGCCCTCATCGAGCCCGAGCTGGGTCATCATCCACGCCGGCAAGTAGCAACGGCCCTCCTCGGCGCTGAACTCCAACACGCCGCAGTGCGTCGCCTTCTGGCGCTCGGGCTTGATGTTCATCACCTGGATCACGGAGATTATTTTTAGATACAATTTTAGGTGCTAATGCACTTGGGGGGGGGGGGGGGGGCAGTCCGGATTTTGACTACAAGACGCTCCAAATGCCGTTTTTTAAACTCGAAGCCGCTGGAAAAGCTAAGCCAAGCCTAAGCCTAGACTTAGCTTCATACAAACGAAGTCTAAGCTTAGCTTGAGCCAAGCTAAGCTTAGCTCCAAGCTTAGTCCTAAATGACCCCATTTTGACCACCTAAGACAATTTAAAGCTCAAGTTAAGCTTAGCTTGGGCTTAAGCTTAAGCCTAAGCCTAAGCTAAGCTTACTTAAAGCTAAGTTAAGCCTTGGCTTAAGCAGAAAACCAAGTAGCTTAAGCGGAGCGTCTCATAACCCCTTACTACCAATTTCGGACTGCCCCCCCCCCTAACTGCATTAGCACCCAATTTTACCTTGAACAACATGACGGGCGATTGGTTGTCCATTTGCATGATGTGGTCGAGCACCGAGGGTGGAAGAATAGCTTTGCCGCCATAGTTGATGCCTTGTACCTAGAAAAAGATAGAATTTTCGGATCTTTGGCAGTGCCGGGAGGGCCATCTTTCTTTTTAAGTATCCAATTGTATAAGCAAGTTATAGTATTCCTAAACGCAAAAAAACTACAAATTTCGACTAAAAAATACAAAACGATGGATTATTCGACCCAAATATGACCTAAAAACCGTTTTATCTCCAGTTGTTTTCATGTTTTTCCACTTAAAATAGACTCAAAATCCTAGTCAAAAGGACTAACTGGAAAAAGTGGCACCACAAACAAGAATTTACCTTATTCGAGTCGGCGCTCTGCATGAACGGGGCCGAGAAAGCGCGCAAATTCGTGCCGTACGGCTGCTGCCGGCCGCCACCCATGAAGAATCGTCCGGCCGCATCGCGCATCCAATCCGCCATCCTTTCTGCAGACATTCTTTTGCGAGTCGAACAGGAAAAGCAAGGCAGAAGAAAAATCAAATCGAATACGCCGGAAATCGGATACCCGCGGAAATACACTCTACGGTTGATCGTCCATGGGTGTATTGCGTACTATCGAGCAAAGCCATTTTTTCGATTTGAATTGATTTTTCGCCATTTTCTAGTTGTTTGGAGCTTTATAAAACTAAGTTTAGCAAAAAAATCAGGAAAGCGTGATTTCTAAGCGTTTTGCCAAAAGTGTTTTGATCCAAAAATCGATGTTTTTGGATGGTCTGTCCTTGATTAAAAGCAGAAATTCGCAAGTAAGAGGATTAATTTCGTAAAAGCCATCTTTAGCGGCGCAGCTCATTTATTTCAAGGCCAAAAGGCACCAAAACAATGGATAAATCGCCACAAACTACTCCCAATGACAAGGAACCTAGTAATTTTCATAAAAACTAATCAAAAATTCGTGCTATCCATATTTGCACCCGGATCCGGCGGTTTTTCACCTTGAAAAGAGGGTCAAGGGTAATGTCAGCACGAAATTTTTGGCCGGGCGGGGGTGCTTTGGGGGGCGACAAACTACGCGTGGGCCAGTTGGCCGATGGGGGTTGGTTGTCGCCCCTCACTGTGGAGCGTCATGTATCCACTCGCGCATCCCGTGAGAGTCTAGAGGGCCTTGCATTGACTAGTGTAATCGAAAAGAATAGTGCCGGGTAATGAAACGGGGCCGAAAAAGACAGGTTTGATACTATTAAACTAGAGATTTTGTTAAGATTAAAAAGCAGCAGTTTTTCAATTTGGGGAAAGCTTGAGGCCCTGATTTATATATGGTTGAATGATCTAAAAAACTCACTAGGACGAATCTGCGAAAATCATTACGCTGACAGTTCACTACTCCAACACTTCATACGCCGAAGCATTTTAGTAGAATTTTACTGTATAGAAACAGAAAAACGTCTTTTAAAACGGATCTAAAAATGGCAGTTTGTGTGCAAAAGGTGGAAATGTTGTTATTTTTAACCTGAAAAATTAATTTTTTTGAGTTAAATTTTTAATGAAAATTTTTTAAGTTTTTATGCTTAGGAATAGATATAAGCAATTGAACAACGCATCCACTAGTTATATAAAAAATCTATCTTTTGGCAAATACACGGGACCTTTGCGCCCAACTACGGCACCCGGGTTTCCATTTCAGCACTACTGACTGACCAATCAAGGCAAATATTTGCCCCCCCCCCTCCCCTCGGGGGACTCGATTCGACACTTTTCTGTCATTTCCTCGCCTACCGAAACGGGCCCGATTGATTAATGGCGAGACGGGCGATGAGCAAAACGAGCGAAAAAATGTGAACATCTTCACATTGGTGTGAACTGATCGCAATGTTCTGAAAAATTCTGAAATGGGGCGTGCCCTTCCGTTTATTTTTAGATTTGTAAACCGCTATTTTCACGTATTTAGGGGCGTTTGGTTAAAGAATATTTTTACGTCTTCTACTCGATCAGCGTACTTTTCTTGCGGAGCCCTGCCAGAAAGCTTGCACGAAGATCACCCCGGCAAGCTCAAACAGAGCGCAAGGAAATCGACGTCTACGACCGGTGAACCGACGTCACGTTTCAGCGTTTTTCCAATACTGTGAAGCGGAATCAACGTTTATTTCTCATGTTTGGAGCTCTTTTTCTCAGCGTAAACCCGCATAAAACAGATATCTGAAAAAAAAATTCCGGGGCCTTTCAATGCAATTTTCTTGAGCAATAAAATCCTAGCGCTTGATATCGATATCAAACCTTTCTTCTCGACATCCATCGACCGCCATTTTATCGATTTTCTGTTTGCTGCCGGTGAGCTTGGCAGGGAAACGATCATTTGTTTGTTCTCCAATCTTCGCCCAACAGTCCTACAACCACGAATTTCTGAGGGTTTCTGATTTTTGCGTGGTATTTATTGAATTTCAATATTTTTAATTTTTTAGGTTTTTTAACATAAATTATATGGCACCACTTACAACTAAAAATACTTGGCTAAAACGACAGATCGGGCACGGTGCTTTTGGTGATGTATTTTTGCTGAATTTACCGACGTGAGTGGATCTGGAAGAGAGAGAGAGAGAGAGAGAGAGAGAGAGAGAGATAGAGCGAGAGAGCGAGAGAGAGAGAAAGCGTGAGAATGTGAGTTAGAGAGCGAGAGAGTGAGAGGGGTTGAGAGGGAGAACGAAAGAGAGACAGAGAGAGAGATAGAGAGAGAGGGAGAGAGAGAGAGAGAGAGGGGGGGGCGAGAGATGCCCAGCAGTAATTTTTATGGATTTCAGCCCAATCGTAGTGAAGGAGCTGCGCGGAGCCCAAAGCACGGCTGAGTACCAATTGGAATTCGGGGCCTTAAAAAGGCTAGTCCACGAGAATATCGTCAAATTTATCGATGCCCCTATCGATTACCAGCACGATCGACTGGGCTGCCCATTGATTTTTATGGAATTTTGCGAGTATGGATCAATGAGGGCAGGTGGGTGTTTAGCAATCCGGTAACGGTACGATTGCGCTCCGTTTACACCTAATAACATTCAAAAAACTACAATTTTTCAGTGCTCTTCAACAAAGAGATCATCTACAGCGTCTCGACGATCGTCCAATGGGCCAGGCAACTATTCAGAGCCCTAGATTTCTTGCAACAACACGAAATGGTACACCAAGACATCAAACCGGACAAGTAGGCCATTTTGCTGATTTTCAGGGTAATGATTGACTTAGGAAAAACGTGTGTAGCATATATCAGGTTGGAAAGAAAGTAATGGCACAAAATCTTTAAACCGCTGTAAAAACCCGCAGGAATGTTCGATTCGAAAGTTTGATATATGGTTTGGTAGATCTTGGGATGCTCTATCACGAGACGACCCTCAAAACGCACAGAAACTGACGGACGCGAAGATACAGGCCTCAGAAGTTTCACGGAAAATTAGGTGAAAGCTTCTAAGCGAGCTATCTCTGCATACAGGCATTTGCATACGAAACTTTTAACACCAATCGATAGCCCTCGAGGAGTAGATATCGATAGATGTTGAGATCGACAAAATCGGACATCGGATGGCCGAGATATGGCCCTAGAATTTTGGTCCACCTGTTAGAACTTTTCTCGAAACCCCATACATTTTGGCCTGCGCGAGGCAAAAACTGCTGCGTTTGCTTCAGCTCCCGAACCAAAATCCACAAAATGCATTGATTTTGGAAGGCCCATATCTCGGCCATCCAGTGTCCGATTTTGATGATCTCAACATCTATCGATATCTACTCCTCGAGGGCTATCGATTGGTGTTAAAAGTTTCGTATGCAAATGCCTGTATGCAGAGATAGCTCGCTTAGAAGCTTTCACCTAATTTTCCGTGAAACTTCTGAGGCCTGTATCTTCGCGTCCGTCAGTTTCTGTGCGTTTTGAGGGTCGTCTCGTGATAGAGCATCCCAAGATCTACCAAACCATATATCAAACTTTCGAATCGAACATTCCTGCGGTTTTTACAGCGGTTTAAAGATTTTGTGCCATTACTTTCTTTCCAACCTGATACAAGGCTTTTAATACATAGGATATACCGTAATTCACGTTAAATGAATGAATACTACGAGATACACCGTCTTACAGTCTCCTCCTGACCCGTCATTTCGTGCTGAAAGTTAGTGACTTTGGGATAATGCGTCGACCTGGCGATCGTGAGGTGCAAATGGCCGGTACTCCAGGGTATATTGCCCCTGAACTATCGAAAGCTGCAATCAGCACGATTCCGGAAGAGGTGGGCATATGGTAGTGTAACGCACTCTAGTGTATTAACACGTACTGTAACGTATTTTTCGGCACTGTGCAATGAAAGACGCAGTAACGAATTGTCCCGTACCGTACAATACATGCGCAGTCTCCCGTTTTTTTTTGGTTAATGCCGCACCCGCGACACGCAACGCGACGGCTATGCCGGCGGTAAAAAAAGGCGTAATTACGTAATCAAAAGGCTGAAATGCGCGTTGCGTGTCGCGATGGAGTCGACGTCTATGCCTTGCCAGCTCCTTTAAAAACCCCAACTTCATCCCCATTTCAGCACCAATACAAATGCGACGTGTACAGCGCCGGAATTGTCTGTTGGGAGTTGACGAGGCGAAAGTTTGAACGCCGCTCTTTCTTATTCATTTAATTCAGAATTACTTCCGACAAAAACTACGGCAACCGATCGATAATCGCGCTCGGGACGCCGGAGGCTGAGATCGAAGAAAGGATCTTGTGGTTTGAATTTAACAATATTCAAACCGTCGGCCGATTATTTTTATTTTTATAAAAAAGCTAATTGCGATCTAAATCTTACTTAACGTTTATTCCTATAAATATGTTTTTCTAATATGTATTTTATGATTTTGAATACCATAAGTTTCTAAGCTCGTTTTAAAATGCTATTTAGCGCCCTCAACCCCGACTTTGAGCACCGACCGTCAGCCAGGGCCCTTCTAAAGGAATGGGAAAACCTGGTAAGCGAATGGCTTCGAGAAAAAAGCCACCTTTTAAGGAGTTCGACTACGAATGGCTGCCCGAACATCGCCGCGGCCATTCAACGCTTCTCCGGCCGATCGGCCTCGACGGCAATATCGTCCCTATGACTGCGGCCTCAGAATTTGGCCTAGCCCCTCCCGCCGCTTCGTCCAATTTCTCATGGTCCTATGGATCGTTTGGGTCTGGATTTGAGAGGATCGATATGGAAAGTGGAGCGTATGGGAAATTGATGAATGCTTGGATGAGGGTGGGTTTAGAGAGTTTTTAAAAGTAATTGCGTTCTGGTTCGTTGGGGGGGGGGGAGCCAAGCACGATATCCCGTCTCCCCCGCTAACAAACCAGCACTACAGGGTGTCCCAAAAAAAACCCCCTCGGCATTTGGCCGTCTTCCATCCAATCGGGACCAAATTTTTACCAGTGATGCGGACCCATAAAAACTATGTGCAGCCGAATTTTCTAAGCAAAATATTGTCAAACAAAGAAGATATATCAAAATTAAGGTTTATTTTGCCGATTTCACTAAGATTTTGACGGAATTCGGCCTCGAAATGTTTAGCAAAAATAAAGAGGGCACTCTTTTCTACCTGTAGAAGTTTTTTGATTTACGAAAATTACGTTTAAATTGGGCCTTTTGATCACTATTTATTATCCTAATTGCCAGAAACTGACCGAGAAATGACCATCTTTCGGAACTAAATTACTCAAAATCCGCATGCCAATTGCGAAAACATAGCCAAAAACGAGTACCAGCGTTTTCCAAAAATCAGTTTTTAAGCGAGAACTTTTTGGTTTTACAATATTTTGCTTAGAAAAATTGGCTGCACATAGTTTTGCGTGTAAACCCCAACACTGGTAAAAATTTGGCCCCGATCCGATAGAAGACGGCCAAATGCCGAGGGGGGTTTTTTTTGGGACACCCTGTAGTAATTGGTTCTGGTGCGTTAGCGGGGGGATTGGGATAGAGACCGGGGAGAGGGGTGCCCATAGGAGTTCATGAAATGCATTACTACATGGAAAAAGTCGCGTTGCGTTTCGCGCATCGCGGCAAAATCTAGGTATAATCCATGGTTGACCAGAGCCATAAGAATACCTTTACAATCCCTTTAAAGGAACCTGAAAACTCCAGAATCGACCCCTGCTACCGTCTAGGTCTCGACAAGTACGGGCGGTGCCAAAAAAAAACACCTTTATCAGCATTTTTATAGCCCAAAAAGTGACGCCAAAAGCAAAGTTTTAATGGAATATGGTGTCCTTTGGAGTGGCTCGTAGTTATCTAGAGCTAGCGGAAGGGAGAGGTCGATTTTTGCGCTTTTTAGCCGCTAGAATGTTAACAATAGGCTAAATACATGGATTCATTTGCGGCTGGCTAAACCCTTTAAACCGACGGAAAAGAAGTCCATTTTTCAGAGGTCCGAGCTTCCGACCTTCTTCGATGACCTGATTACCATATCGATAGGCGGTAGATGTGCTTCATCAGAAGCTTCTCCTTCTTCGTCTTCTTCTCCCTCGCTAGCCACCCTCTCAGCCTCTCGATTCATCGTCCCTCCCCTCTCGTCTTTTGCCCGCTCTCTATACCGTAATGGGGATACTAGTGGACAAACAATCAATCAATTACGACATGAAAAGATTGCGGAATTCAAGGAGAGAATTGAACTGCTTGATGTTGATGGGAGAGAGAGGGTGATGGCGGAATGTGATCATCTACTGAAAGGAATATCTGAGGAGAAAGATGCTGAACTGGTTGAACTCGAGGTGGAAGCAGAAGGAGAACAAGGCGAAGAAGCTATGGCTGTTTTGGCATTTCGGGCACTGTTGCTTCTGGATTATTTGCTTCAGAAGAGCTGCTTCTTGTTTGCGGTAATTTTATGGAGAGAGGAGAAAGAGCGAGAGAGAGAGCCAGCTAAAAAAAGAGTGAGAGAGTGAGAGCGAGCGTCAGAGCGAGAGAGAAAGTGGGAGAGAGAGAGAGAGAAAGAGAGAGAGAGAGAGAGAGAGAGAGAGAGAGAGGAGAAAGAGCGAGAGCGAGAGAGAGGGGGCGAGTTCCTATTCTCTGTTTTTTTTTTCAGATCCAAGTGATGGCGGCCTGTGAAAGAGGCCAAATATCATCCGAAGATCTCCTTCGACTTCTCAAAATGGCCAAGAAGAATATAGAAGAAGTCGAAAAAATTGCTCAAAGGAGGCTTAAGGTAGGTTTTTAGAACTTTTTAATGAAAATGAGTTAAAATTACGGTTACATTTTTAATTTTCTTTAATTTTAAAAGTACTTAAAAACTGAGTTGAAAACGTTAAATTCATTTACGTAAAAAATTGGAAATTAATACCCCAAAAAACAAATATATGACCATATCCCAGTTCACAGTCTGGCGCCTGGGCGGCTCGCAGTACGAATGGCTCCGCCTGACCGGCCACCTCGTCAAGAGCGACCTCTCCGAAATGCGAAACGAATCCGAACTCCGCCAAAAACCGATGAAAACCCGGAAAGAAGTCCCGCTAGATGTGGAAACAGTCCGAAGAGACGGTCTAGCTGCCCGTATCTCTCGTATCGTACCCCCGGATAATGATGAGTCACTGTTCCCTCCGATTAGTGCGTCGGAAGCGGAATTATTAGATGCTCTTCAGAACCAGCCAATACCCGGCTATTATTTCTTGGATGACGTGCTTCCGGTTGTGACTTGTTGCTGTCAACCGAAATGTGCGCCAAAGGTGTTTGAGAATCCGTATGGACCGGAGTTTAAGGTATGGAGCAAGAGGTGTTTGCTAGCTCTCTCTCTCTCTCTTCTCTCTCTCTCGCTTTTTCTCGCGCCCACTCTCAATCTCTATCTCAGTTCATCTCGCTCTCTCACTCTACTCCCTCTTTCTCGCTCATCGCTCTCTCGCTCTCTCGCTCACTCGCTCGCACTCTCGCTCACGTTCTGCCACCGATTTCAGGCTCCCTCGTGCACAAGCGAAGACCAAATCGATTTCATCCGAAGCCACAGTTTTTATTCTCGGGCCCTCCGATATCTCGGATATTGGAGTGATGTGGAAAAACACTACGAACTACATGTTTTAATCGAGGAGTTGATCAGGTCCGGCGTGTTTCCTCTAACAATAAGCTTTGACGGTGTCTTTGGGTGTAATCCGTACTTCCATTTTCAGGCAATCCGAGAAGATGGGCCATCGACTTCACCCCGTTTACTTGACCGCTAGACAGGTCTGAACAATTTAGAGATACCGATTAATGAGATTTTTCAGGGCAAACAACTATGGCTGTACGTGTCTCAACCATTTGAGGGTCGCGATGCAATTTGTGATGATCGCTTCAATCGGGTCTACGGTCTCGACAAAGATGATTTTTATCTCGTGACTTTGAGAGAACGGATTGACAAGAGGATGAAGCCGGCGATTGTTAAGGTAATACTGATAGGTCTTTGGAACTACCACAAAGCCCATAAAATTTTCTAAAAACAGCTGAAAATCCGCCAAAATGTGTCTATTAGTGTGTGCATATATGGTCATTATTATTGGTATCATTTTCCTTTTTCTTTAGCTTCCAAAGTAGCCTATCTTCAGGTGGAATTCCGAGCCCTTGCTCAGATCCTTCGCCCGATGGCTGAACGTCTTCGTTTCCTCGTAAAAGGAGGTACGGTAATCTGCGAATACCTGTTTAAAATTTTTTTGATATTCTTAAATTCGGTCGTTCCTGCCTTCTTCTTTAATTAAACCCTGACTTCCAAGTTTCTTTAAAAGCCCGGAATTTTCCAGAACGCACCGACCGCTACAACGAGTTCGTGCTCGGCATGACGGAACGATTCTGGCAGCAGAGGAGGCCGATCGTTTTTGAGCGCATTATTTAAAGTGATCAAAACTAATTAAAATGTGTAGATTTGAATAAATATTTTATTTAAATTAGAACAAAAGATTGAATATGCCACATAATTTGCACAAAAATTAGGTTTAGCACTTTCACACAAGAAAATTTGCATTTCCGGGTTATTACCGGCCCTGAAAGATGACTAAGAATTTATCATATCGATCTACGCGTCATGGCCGACCAGTTGCAGGTAATTTTATAGATTTTGTACGGTTGGCTATGCAAATTGGCTATGGAAAACTCGCTAGATAAAAAAAATATGCAAATTTATGCGGAAATTCATAATTTTTTAAGGAATCCGACGGCCTTCGCGAGCGCAAAAAGACGGTCCGTTTCGAGCCCGACGAGAAGCTGCCCCGGCGCAACAAGGCGATGAAGTCGAATGAGAGCGAGAAGCTCGTCCAGCCCACTACAAATGACGGGTGGCGCGAGCAAATCGAGAGGGCATCGGGTATGGTAGTCTCTCGCACTCTCTCTCTCTATCTCTCTCTCGTTCGCTCTCTCTCGCTCTCTGTCACTCTCTCTTGCTGTCTCTTTCACTAGCTCACTCTCTTCCACTCTCTCGCTCTCTCTGTCTCTCTCTAACCCTCTCTTTTCCAGATGACACTACCCCGCCGATTCCGAAGGAGCTGGAGAGCGCGTGGCAGGACTTCATCTCTCACTACTTCCCCATGTCGTTTCTGCTCACCATCGGTACAGTAATTGGCAGGGGGTTACGGTAGGAACAGGCTCAGGCTTACTTAGGTTTAGACCTAAGCTTACTTAGGCGTGGGCTCCAAGCTCTAGGCTTCTTGCCCTATTTCCCGACAACTTATCCAAATTTTTCGATTTTAGTCCTGCTGGGCGGCAACCTGGGCGCGTACATCTTCGCGGAGTACATCGAAAAGGACTGCTGGGTGCCGTTCTTCCTCCAGCTGACCGCCTGGTTCTTCCTCCAGGCCCAAGTGATCGGCAACGCGCTCGCCGTCCAATCGCAACGACAGTACGCTACGCACCTCATTCCTCCATTTTTTCGCTTTTTAGCAAGGACTGCCCGATGTACCAGATGAATCGGCTCGGGCTGAATGGTAGAACTTTTCGCAATTTTCTGTTTCTGATCTCTCTCTCTCTCTCTCTCTCTCTCTCTCTCTCTCTTTGTTTCTCGTCTTCTAAAATAAACTTTTAGCGAAAAAGCTGGCCCTCAGCTCCGACCGGAAAGCGACCATCGGCACCAAGGTGTACAGGGAATGGCGCTACTGTAAGACATGCGAAAGGTATCTCTTTCTCTCTCTCTCTCTTTCTCTGTCTGTGTGTCTCTCTCTATCTGTCTCTCTCACTCTGTCGCTTCAGGGTGATGCCGGTTCGTTCTGTCCACTGCTATCTATGCGGAAAGTGCACCCTCCGCAACGACCACCACTGCTACATGGTCGGCTACTGTGTGGCCGTGCAGACGCAGGTACCGCATCCCGCCCTCCTCGATGAGGTTGTTCCTTTGCAGCGCTACTTCCTGACGATGTGCTTCTACATCACGGTGATGGGGCTGTGGGGCTCGATCGTGTCGTTCAGCTACCACTGGGACGAGATTGTCTACATGACGCCGTGGGTTTGAGGCTTTGAGGTTTTTGTTCTACATTCCGGCACGATACGTTACACGTTACGGTACCTTACAGTACGCTACAGTACGCTAGACTAAACAGCAAGCTACAATAAGCTACGGCTGACAAGCTGGAAACCGTATCGGAGCGTAACCGAACGCTACAATACCCTGGCGATAAAGCGCTACAGTACGCAAGATAGCGTAGGCGTTCGTAACCGTAACCCCTCGTCTTTTCCAGGACCTGCTGGGACGATATTGTGTACGCGTGGGGTGTGCTGTGCGGCGTTCCCGGGCAGTTGTGGCAAGATCCGGAGGGCTCAATCACACGCGCCTTCTGGGCGACCCTGTTCTACGAGAAGCCGCTCATCATCACCCTGCCCGTCACCCAGGTTGCCCTCCTCGCTGTCGTCGGCGGGATCACCTTCTTCTCACAGGGGGTGCGTTTTATCGGTAAAAATAGGAGCGTCGAATTTTCTCAAAAAAATTCCTCTGCTGGTTTTCCCCTATCTACTTTCTTCTTACGCGTAAAAATCAAAATTTGAAGACACTAGTTAATTTCCTGAAAACCCCGTGCTAGTTTGCCCTTATGCTTTTCGTCTAAAAATGCCCTTGAATTGCCTCAAAAATCTTTGCTAGTTGGCCCCCACTTTTTACGTTTTTGCCCCTCAAAATGCAACTACTTTCCCCAAAAATCTCCGCTAGTTTGCGCAAGTATCGGATTTTTAGATCTGGAACGTGTACATCGGGCTGGCCCAAAAAGAGCGCTATCACCTGGGCGGCATCGCCACCGGCGAGCAGTACCACTCGACTTTTGGTAGTTTGGCGCAGGCTTCAACTTGTAATTTTTTTGCAGTCGAACGCTTCCTGTTCATGTTCGGGTCGAATTTCCCGCTCGGGCTGCTCTGGCCGATGAAGTGGGAGGAAGTCGAGTGGAGCGGAAAGTTTATCGTACGTTGTTGTTGTTTTTGCTTCCTAAGCTAAATGAGCGAAACCTAGGCCGAAAACAAGTAAATCCAAGATTACTAACCGCACTAATAAGTTTTACAAACGATTCACCCACTCTCAAACATGCACCCCCTAGGACTCGGTGCTGCTACATCCGCTGATCGCCGACGAGGACATTACCGAAGTGACCGACGACGCCGGCCAATCGACAGAAGCCTAAAAACCTTACCCAGCACTCCCCGTTCTTTCTTTTTTGTTCCACCAACCCCTACCGCACACTTGTATTCACATCGTTTTTTGGGCGGGCACGCGGGTTTTACCGCCGGTTTTTCTGTCAATAAAGTGTTGGTTGTACGCGCGAAATGCAAAAATATCAGCTCCAACAAAGAGCGTTTTTTAGTGTCCATGGAGTTTTGAAATCGGACCAAGCCTATTTTGCGCTGATTAAAACGTACTTTTCAGTTTTAAAACCGAAACGGCCATATTTTAAAAGTTACGGCGCTTTTAGGGGCGAAAAACCGCCAAACTCGGGTTATTTTCGGCATGTTTATACACTTTAAAGCATCGCAACTTTTCAAAAACGTTGGTTTCGCAGATTTTGAAAAGTGCGTTTTGATCAGCGAAAAATTCTGCACAAAATAGGCTTGGTCATATTTCGAAACTCGGTGGACACTAAAAACGCTCCTTGTAAGCTTTATAAAACCTGCCGCCAAGTTTGCCAAAAGTAAAAGCGACTTTCAACGCCAAACCTTGTCAAAAGAGGCCATAAAGGCGAAAAACAAACATTTTCAATCGATTTATTCGCCACTAACGAGGATAAACGGAAACGAAAACAACAAGTAACGGAAAGAAGGAGAAGAAATTTTGAAGAAGAAGAAGAAGAAGAAAAAGTAAAGAATTCTGAGGGGATAAAGTTTTCGTATATCTATTTTGCAGGGGTCAGTGTAACGGGACGACATGTAGAAAATTGTATGCTAGGAAAACGGGAACTGGGGAAAGGTAGAAAAAAGGTAGTCCTAACGCCGGCTCACCTTATCCGTAAACATAGTAAAATGAAAAGCTCCAACTCTCCAATGCAGAGAAATACCATCAGAACGCTTGACATCCTGATAAGCTCCGAGACTTGTAGATATGTCGTCGACTTCAAAAGAACCGACAAGGTTCGCGTCCACGGTGATATTAATTAAGAATCGGTTACGTTCGAAGGAAATCCACCGTTCGTAGAGCTTCTGGCACATGGCTTCGAGCTGTGAAGTGACATTCTTTCCGCCCGTGTCCAGCCTGAACTCCAGCCCAACAAAGTCCCAATCCGGAATGTAGCTCAACCATTCGACTGACAACGTTCCAAGCCGGAGACGCCTTACTTCCTTCAGCGCTAGAGGCCATTCGGTGCTGAGTGCCGAGCTGAAGGCTTCAGCATCCCAGCCCAGGAAGTATATGTGGGCCGGCTTCCATTTCCTGATCAGTTCCGCGCACCGGTGAGCGTCTTTCTGATATCCATTAAACGTCAGGTTGTGGATTGTCCCATCGGGTGTAATATTTGTCTGCACGTCGTACGCGATCACTGAATGCACATGGGCGCCTGATAATAAAACCTCGGCCTCAACGTGTGTTCGGATCGGGCCGCGTTGGTTTCCGGGCCAAGTACCGGAATTTGCCCAGAAAACGACCCCTTCAGAAAGCCACTCCACGGTATCGAAACGCTTGTTCTTCAGGTTTCTGGTCGCCCGCAAAAGATTGGGATGGCATTTGGCCAGTGCTAGCAGCTCCTTTTCACCGAGCGGCTCCATGATTTGCCATAGGAGTTCGTAGGGGAGTTCGTAAATCTCCTTTTGGAATCGAGCGTCCATCAAAAGAATCTTAGCTTCTTTGGCAGTGAACTGTTCGTAGTCGATGATGGCAGAGCGCCGGGTACGATAAACGATCTGCCAATCCTTGCCGGGCCAACGGTCAACGTGCTTTCGGAGCACTGGGTGAGCATTCGCCGTCTCGAGCAGGCTGCGGGCATCCAACGGTCCAAACACTTCATGCATCAGGTTGGGCGGCAGATCGAGCAGCGTCTTCTCGGCGACGTCTTCAACTTTGCGGCGCTTGGCGCTGGGTGAATGCGGCTCCTCGGAAAGATCGGTGGCCATTTTACCTGAAAATGGGTGGCGTTTTTTGGAAAGGTCAGCGAGCTTTGAAAACGAGAGCGAAAACGAGCTTCATTAATGCGTTTCTATGCAAGATTTTCGCCAAAATCGAATCGAAAGTTCCGGCGTCGCGACATAGATACGCGCTTTGACAAAATGAATTGCGGGCTCGAGTAAGCTGTCCGGAAGTACGTTTTGTTCCAGCGAAGAGATTTCTCTGCTTGAAGTGTGCAATTGTGTGAAATACTGTTTTTTAACGTGTAAAACTTTATTCTTAACGTGAAAAATGGTAACAATCAAACGAACAAAATAAGAATCATATCAAAGACATCACAAATCTACCCGGAATTAGATAAAACAACTTTTAGAAACTGGGAGCAGTCGGCTTCAGCTTGAAACGAAGAGATTTTTCTATATATGTCGATGCTTCACGGGTAGTCGTCGACGTACTCCAGCCCATCGTCCCTAAACAAAATAATAAAAAAATACGAAAATGAAATTTACCAATCATCAGGAGTTTCCGTTTGGCTTGCTGCCGCTTGGTCACCAACCTCTTGCGACGCATTTTCGTTTCTAAAAACACCAAAATTTTCCCGATTAAAAGTAGATTAAATTGACGCTTAAACTATTACAGCCATATTAAAATATCAAAATAAAGAAAGAAATGGAGTCGCTAATACAATTCGACCCAATGCTTACCCTTGTGCCATCGAGGGCGGTTTCTGTGGCCGGGGGTCGTGAAGCACGAAGGTGGGCATCCGGGCCGGCGGCTTGTAGTTCACCCAGACTCTTTGATCTCTAGAAACAGTGATAGTTTTTGAAAAATGTTTTCCCATACCTTCCCGCTGCCTTGAACTCGAACCTCACGACATATCGGGCGCCATCTTTCATCCGTTTCTCGCGCGCTTCCGGGGTCTCGATGGTCAGCTTGTGCCTCCTAGACAAGAAAAATATTGCTTGGAATAAATTATCCAATTGCTTCATCAAAATTAATTTCTACGCTTGTGATTGAATAGTCAATAACTCAAATTTGAAGCTTTTGGATAGTAAATAAGATCATATTTAAAAATCGGCTACAAAAATTCTGTGAGAAACTGACCACCAAATCGCCAATCGCCGCTTCAATTCGGCATGTTGCCGTGCAGCATCATCCATTGGCGGGTAGCTGGGGATCGGTGGCGTTGTAGCAGTGCCTACCGCGAATTTGATCTGACCGGGCACGCTAAATCGGGCATTTTTGACGAAATCAAATAAAAATCGAGGTAACACATTTTTTCGGTGCTTTCCCATTATCGGGGGGGGGGGCGGAAGGGTCATGGACAGTTATAATTTTTTCCTACCAATTTTAATCGGCTGCTCCGTAAAATGTAGCTATATTTCATTTCAACTTGAAAATTTTAGTCCTAAAATACAGGTTATTGGCTTTGTTTATATTAGAAAAAATCGAGTCAAAGGAAAAAATTCGCCTTCCCCGATAATGCAACAGCACCAGGGTTTTCCACTCACCTTTGATCGAACTGGAAGCCCGGTCGTGCCGCAAAATAACGGACTACGCCGCCGCTTTCTTGTTTCACGACGCAGCAGCGGTTCCTAAAACGAAACGGTAAACCAAAAGCGTAAAACGACGCACCCGGAAGGTTTTTTCCGGGGCGCTGGCGGCGCGGCGTTCGCGTCCTTCGCAACCGTCTTCTTCCGTGGCCTGTACAATAAAAACTAATCTTTTTTTTGCAGGGAGAAATACCTGCCATAAACCGCGATCCGGCGCTCCATGAGCCCCGCGATTTCGTCTGGCAAATCTGGGTACCGGTTCTGAGGCGCTGGGGGGTTTTCCGGTGCACTGTCGCCAACCGTTGAGGGGCCGGCAGGCCTGGAAACTGTAGATTCACAAATTTCGTCCTTTCAAACCATACTCTTGATTGGAATCGGCCGGCGAAGGCGCGGACGAGCCCTCAGTTTCCGGGTTTTCGATGGGCTGCCTAAAGAAACTATTTTGCAGCTCCTAAAAAATACTTACAACTTCACGACTTGTTCTTTACTGGGATCAGCAGGGATCGGTCGCGAGACGACCCTAAAAATGACGTTTTAACGTTTTAAAAATGATGATTTCGGATTCTCGAGCGGGACCAGCTTTTTCGCCAAGTTCCTGCTATCGTAGTCGTCTTCAAGTGGAAAATTAACCATGAAAAACCTCCAAAAAAGTGAAGATTGAGGTTAAAAATCGCGACCTAGTCGAAAAATCAGAATTTTTGTATTTTTTCGATCGAATATTTCGTTTTCGCACTCAAGAAAAGTCAAAACTAGTCCAGAAAAAAGTTGGGTATGCCGCGATGTCAAACCACGGTTAAAATTACCGAAAAAACTTACGGATTCAATCCGATCAAGCGCCGCACCTCCGCCACCAACCGCACCCTGAACTCTTCAATCTCTTCCGCCGGCTCTTTTCTACAATAATCTTGTATAGCATTAAAAATGACCAAACTGGATGGCCGATATCTCGCGACTTCTGGCCCGAAACCATTTCCGGTACCTTCCCTTCGCCTCGCGAATCTCCCTCGCCGCTTGTTTTCGCTGATATTCTTCCGGGTTCCGCTTGAACATCCTAAAAAAACCGTCAGATACAAAGCGGCAGATTACGCACTTTAGCCTGTGTTGTTCCTTTCTGTACTCTTTCTCTTCAGCGGTCTCCTCGGCGGCTCGTACTTTTCTGCAGAACACGGGTACACTAGACAAGTAAGAAACGGAGACATACCTAGCGATCCGTCTGCGCTCAATCTCGGCTTCGGTCAATGGCCCGCCCACCCTAAAAATAATCCGTTTTCTCATTCAGTCAATTTAACAAGATTCAGCTTTTCCGAATACACGCCCAACAACTCACCTCTTCTTCCTCGGCTTCCCTTCCTGGTTCCGGCGTCTAAAAAGAAGCTGAGAAAAAAGAGAGCTGCTTACCCCCACTCGCGTTGATGCGCCAGCCGCTCTTCGCGCTGTTCCGGTGTCTCCATTTGCTTTTTGAGAAGTCTAAAAAAAGAATAACGATAATGTTCATCGCTACGCCTTTTTGAGGCTAAAAACGCACCTTTTTTCGTATTCAGCCGCCTTGCGTAGTGCGCGTTCCTCCGGCGTGTAGCGTAGCTTTTCTTCTTCACTGAAAAAAGAAATCTGTCTAGCTACCGGATGCGTAGTTGCCATAGAATCGGGCAAAATCGCTTACTGCCATCTGCGGTAGATGGCCCACCAGCGCAGTTTTCGGTCTTCTTCGGTTTCGCCGGGCAGTAGACGAGCCCTGATAGAAAATATGATCGAAAATCAAGGGGACAAACCTGTATTCCCTCATATGCTCGCGCTTCTTTTTCAGGGCCTCTTCACGGGATAATTTTGGACCCGTAGTTCTTCGCTTTCTCTTTGCGGGCCGTTTTGACGAAGTCGATGGACGATCGGGCTCATCAGAAAACTCGGAAGCGTCGCTGACCTGGCCCGATTCCATGTCCATAGTGGTACTAAAATCTAGGTATTAGAAAAGCTCATCAAATCGTCGTTTTTAGGTGTTTTATGCCTAAAGTCTTTAGAATTCCTAAATCTCTTGGATTCCAAGAACTCCAAACGAAGGATGGCCGGTTTTAGAACCCAATGGAAACTGCAGCGTTTTAGAAATACTAAAAATACACTTTAAAAACCACACCTTCTCGCATCATCGTTGAAGCTGTCGTTTGATTCACCGGTTGCCGCTCGGGCTTTCCTTCTGGTGAGCATCGCCACGCGTTTCAAGGCGATCGAACAGTGGTTACTGTAAAAACGAAACCTTGCTAAAGCTTTAATGCTAAAAAATTGCTAAAGAAGCGCATAAGAGTTTTGTAAACCCAAATCCGTCAAAGTCCAGGTTTGCCAAAGTCAATCACAGCTGCGTTCGCCATCCCTTTTCCTTATTTCCTGGGAGTTGGCGCGTCGCGGCTCGCCAGAGTGTCTGAATCCCGGGGTTCTGGCTCCCGAGCGATTTGGTCTTGTTACGTCCTAAGGAAATAAGATGTGAATTCGGTGTAATTTACCCTGTAAAAGACCTCTAGAAATACAAACAATCTTTATTCGACAACATTTGGAACAAAGAAGTACCCGAAAGCGCGAAAACAACGTGAAAAATGCGCGAGAAAGACAATGAAAGTAGAATTTTAATATAATAGAAATGAATGTGATTATGTGGAGGTCGAGGGGCCCTCAGCGTCTTCAGTATAGTCTAGCCCATCGTCCCTAAAGAGAAAAACGTTAAAAATTAAATTTCAACGGCACCAAACAGGGCCGTCGTTATGCATTTCTGGTTGAGCATCACCAGCAGGATGTTGGTAGGAACTAAAATGAATAGCACTACGTGAAAATAAGTAAAAAGCGTACTTTGGATCTGTCGGGTCAATGATCATCGGCGGTTTCTTGCCCCGTGGCTCGTCGTTGGCTTCGTATTTGGGCACGTGCTCTGGCTTTTTGTAGACGATTCGAACTGTGGCGTATTCTCTGGAATCAGAAATAATAGTGATAAACCATATAATAATTAAACCCGCAGTTATTTTAGGCTATTTAAATAACTTACATTCCCTCTTTGCTCTTGAACGTCACGCAGTAACGGGCGCCATGTAGCATGCGGTGCTCGCGCGCTTCTGGCGTTTCCGTGGCCTGCTTGTGCGCCCTGGAACAATTAAATCAAGTTAATTCACGCTTCCCAGTTAATCAACACCAAAAATTACAAAGACCCACCACCACCTAGCCACCCGGCACCGAACTTCTAGCTGTCGCCGTTGCGCCTCTGCGTGCGGGGCAGCAGCCTCTTGGGCAGCTTTGGCTGCGTCGATTTTTGCCTGCTTCTTGGCCGCCCTATAAACACAACACATAATTATAATGAAGATAAAAACATACTGTTGAGCCTGCTTGGCCTGGACTCGGATTTGATGTTCCTCGAGCGTCTCATTCGGGTTCACCTTGCATATTCGCTTCTTTTTCTTCCTAAAGCCAAATTATTGACAGGCGTAAACTACAACTCACGGCGGCTCACTCTCCGGCGCTTCCGCTTCAAGCTTCTTCTTGGCCTCCCTAGGTTCAGAATAAAATCTGGAAATTAGCCTCTTACAGCTCTCTTTGCCTTCTTCTGAATCTCTGCGCCCGTTCTATCAATAACCTTCGTTCGCGCGCTTCCGGCGTCTCGATTTGACGTCGAACATAACTAGAAAAAGTTAGCACTAGAGAAAATTGTTCTTTTGCATTATCCGAGGGGAAATGAACCTGATCTAACGTTCGAATTTTTCTAATATAAATAGAGGAATTTAGCGTTTTTTAACATCCCTAAACGTAAAACTACAAGTTTTGAAAAACAAATACAAAAAAAAACATCGCTGTCCTACCAAAATTGGTTTCCCTCCGACCGTAATTTCACCTAAAAAATTATTTTCGACGTTTTATGATTGGCTTTTCCGCTTGAAATCTGGTAAATTGAATTAAAACACTATTAAAAACCCACATTATGTTACCAGGAATTTTATGGACTGATCGGAAATATTGCGAAAGCACCGAGAAAACTTTTCCAGTTTTCGTCAAAAACATACCTGCGCTCGAGCTGTCGCTGTCGAAGCTCCAGGCTGAAAAACGTGTAAGCTAGAGAATATTTGCGTAGATACTCACTGTTTATCTGGAAAACGTTCCTTATACGTTCTTGCCCATTCAGCTCTTTTCTTGCGGCACTCCTCTTTTTGCCTAAATAAAAATTAGTAACAAAACACGGGAGTTTACCTTCTAGTCTGGACTTTTCTTTTGGCCTCAGCCCGCTCCTCGGGCGTCATCCGGGCCCATCTCTCGGCTCTGAAAACGAAAAATTAAAATGACAAGCGCAAACGCTTACCGCCATTTAGCATGAATCAGTCTCCAGCGTTCTTTTCGATCTTCAGGAGTTTCGCCCTCGAGTAGACGCGCCCTGGAATATCAATAAATTGGATAACGGGTAAATTCTTCTTTCGGATTATCGTGGCGGTCCTATTTTAAATGACTATTACGTATTAATAAGTGTTTTAGTAGTGTCTTTAGTAAAATTTAGATAACTTTCAAGCGGAAAAGTTATCTAATCTAACATTTTTTTGAGAATTTTGGCGATAACCGCTGAACTTGGGACGAAAAATTACTTTTTTTTTGATTCTGAACAAAAATTTGGAGGTTTTGCTGTTCGGAATAATAAAAAGAAAAAGAATCGAAAAACCTCCTCTTTTTAAATTAAAAAAATTCAATTCTTAGAGAAGGAGGAGAGCAGGAGGGATCGATTAGGACCCCCCCCCCGATAACGCGAAAGTACCGGAGAAATTCTCATTACTCATCATACCTCAATGCCCTCATTCGTTCGCGCTTCTTTTTCAGCTCTTTTCCCGTGACTTTGGGCTCAAGGACCTTCGCCTTCGCTTTCCCTTTGAAGTCGAAGGGTCATCGGGGTCATCAGAACCTCGGTCATCGTCGTCGTCGCTCAACTCGGCAGGTTCCAAGTCCGGGTTCCTTCTAAAGAACCTGTTGATTTCGATCCAGATAAGAAAAGCTAAACAAAACAAATTGTAATTTACCACGTACTCTTGCTTGTTTTTGAGGGAGCTTTCAGCCGGTTCCTTGACGCTCTCGCTCGGCTCACCCATCTCGGCTCGAGCCTGTCTTCGCGTGCGCATCGTTCTTCCGATTCTAAAGAAGATTTTTTGGGTCTTATATAATCTATTTCAACAAACTGAACCGAATTAATTCGGCCATGACAAACACGGCATACCACTGCCGGCCCGCTTGCCTTTTTCTGCTCGCCTACGAAGTGCCCCTATCCACAAGGGGAGTTAGACCGCCAATTAAAATCCACAGAAAAACGCCAAAAAAAACCGCAGAAAATAATCAGGCTAAAAATCCCGCCGATTCCCTGATTCAAACAGTAAATATAAATAATTAAATTCAAATAGAATTCCGCATCTAACGTGTCTGTCTGAATTTTGTTTTTGTTCCAAAAATGGCAGCAAATCTTTATAAACCCGAAAATCAAAATCAACGGCAATTCAGAAGCAAATTATCACAACTCCGCTTGGCAACCCTGGTGTAGAGAAAGTAAGAATTATCAAAACAACATTACAACGAGATAAGTAGACGTAAAGTTACAAACTTTGGAATCGTGAAAAAGAAATAAACAAAGCAAATGATAAGTTAATTTGCGATAGATTCGGGAGACTGTAATCAAAGACAACGCTGTAGTTCAAGACTTCTTATTCTTCATCCGCGTAGATCAGCCCGTCATCTTCTCTAAAAAAAACAAAAGAAGATAAAAAACGGGATTCAACGAACTCTGGCGTGTAGTGCTGTAACTCTTCCGGCTTCTTCTCGCCCATTCTTTGCTGTGCGACCCTCGCCCATCGCTCCATTTTCGATTCTGCGGCTGTTAAGACACTGAAAAAGGGTTCTTCAAAACCGTAACAAACCGCTATTAAGATTCTATAAAAATCTTGTCACTTACAAAGTATCATCGGGTTTCCTAATCGGTGCCAGGAAGCACTTTTCGATTTCTTCTTTGTCAATGGCGATCTTGACAAAATAGTCATCTCCAGGGCTCCTAAAACTATTAGATTAATTGACAAAATTTTGGGTGGCTACCTCTTTTTTCGACGGGATTCAGGAGCTCATTTTTCGGCAGGCTGATCCCAAATTCCTGCGGGTGGAGGGCTCTAAAAATGGAATCTTCCTAGCCAGAGTAAATCATACTTTATGAAGCAGTCCTTGATTTCTTTGCTATTCAGATCAATG